TGAAATCTTTATGTTATGCGTGTCAGCTTTGCTGGGTGGATTGCTTATGTAATCAAAAAGTATAAAAATAGGGATTTTCTGTCATTCGGGGTTTCTCTCTTTTAGAGGAGCCGCTCTTTGTTCAGCTGAATAAAAACATAAAGCTTAAAGGAAACTTTTGGTTTCCTGTATTTTTTTATCAAGCAAAATCTCAGAACCTGCACAGCAACTTTCTCTATTCCCAGACTTTACAACCTAGGTAATGGAGAAATTTTGCATTGGTGTCTCACCCCAAGACTCATACGATATGATTCCCTCCACTCAGTTCGGCTAGCTAAAGGTCTTTAAGACCATCAGAAGAAAGGTGGAGAATTCTGATGGATGCCTAAACTTCCCAAGACTCTTCTAACTAGATGAGGATAAAAACAGAGTGTTTTTGGTGTTCTGGAGGAAGCAGCATTCACTGAGCTAGGATTGCAACATCACATAAATTCCCAGAAATGGTGCTGGAAGGATGATGGGCCTAAAGGAGAAGAAATTGCAGGAGGGGATTCCTTTATTTCACAGTAGATAAGCAGCAAGTAAGTCAGATATAAGATTGCTGAAAGAGGCTTAAAGGAACCCAAATAAAATTAAAGAAAAACAGAAACCAATGGAAAACTGGAATTGGTGGGAAAAGCCTGGAATAGGGAGGGTTACTGGATGGCGAGAAAATATAAACAAGGCAATGTGGGAGGACCGCAAACCCCCCCCCCAGAGAAAGACGTGTTTTGGGAATATTTAAAAGGCAGAATATTATATTTCCCCCAAAGGATCTTAAAGACAGAAATCACACCCTTCCCACAAGTCTCTCTGCCCCAAACAGAAACCAGATCTGCAGAAATGCAGATGTGATAATCTTGTCAGAAAGATTGGAGCCAGGAAGCTTGGATTAGAAAGACAAAGATCCCTAGAATCAACAATCCCTCTCACATCAAAAAAATCCAACACAGGACATAGCCATCAGCCACAGCCCCAGGGAAGCAGGATATGACCTTTGGGACATAATAGGATAAACCTACCACCATCAGAATACCAGAAAGGCACACTCAGACTCAGGTCAAAGTTCATGCCACAGGAACAACTCCAAACAACCCCAAGAAGGTGTAAAAACCCACCACTCCCTACTACATGTGGTCAGCTTTCCCAGAGCCATCTTTCTGTCTGGCTCTATTCTTCAATAAACTACAACCTTCTTTCTAAAGCAGTTTCCATTTTGATTATTCCCAGCTTGGACTGGTCACTGATGAAGATTTTTCTTTCAACAGCAGTATGATTACTGGAAATCAGGATAGCTGCTGGAAGCAAACAATAAGTCAACAAAAATAAAATCAGGCTGAGCTTAAGCATGATTTAATATTGGCTGGATCCACATATCCTAAGTCACATACCATTATCAACTGCAAAAATGCTTGACAAAAACAAACAAATGTGTTATGGTGTAGCACAGACTAAATCCAACCAAAGCGTAACCTAACAAGAAGGTGGAAAAATGGAAGACCCAAAGGAAAAACAGAGCTATTGTGTATACCCCAAAACTTCCACAGTGTGGAAGACTTCCGGTGAATGTATTCAGTGGCTAGTTGGCCGAGTAATCAAAATGTAAAATTTCCCTGTAGAGCTCAGGACTTGTTTTCTTAGTAACAAGATAATTTACTGCAGGTTGCTGGGGAGGAGAGCACTCCATATCTGCAAATGCATATTTCCCAGCCTAGCCCTGCACTGTTTGTTGTTCTTAGGAAAAGCAGAAAAATGAAAGTGTCTTGGGTCCCCAGAGCTATTGTTTGTGCTATTGAATTGGTTCTCTTCCCAGCAGAGTTGGCTGGAATATGAGGTTTGATGGCCTTGTTCTGGGTTCCTACCTTTTAACTCTAGAATGCCCAACATTCCTGCAATACTCAAACACCTGCAAGTTACATGCTATATGGCATATCCTTTTATGGATATTCTATCTATTTCCTAGCAATGAACCGACAGATGTGTATTTCTTTTGTCAGCTTCTCCCAATTCATGCCCTCCTCTGTATCTTGCCAGGTTGCATTTTTTTCAATAAATATTTATTTTTTATTCAAAACGTTAAAATACAAATTGTAAAAAGGGGGAGGAATACAAAACAAAGTGAAACTACACAAAACGAAGAAAGAAAATGAATGTGCATTAAAAGTAAAAACAACAACAAACATAAACATAATTCCCCCCCCCCCCGGTTTGAATACAGATAAAAATATATTTTGAAAATAAGTAAGTCTACAGTCACCTGAGGGTTATGTTGAGTCATTCCTAGGACCTCCTGTTCAAATTTAGGGAACATGCCGCCAGAGAGCCAGCTGTAGTGGCAAAATCAGCTTTTTGCCAGCAGGAGGGAAAAATGGCCCTGTCACTTAGCATGCCATCTTCGAAGGACCACCCACCCCAGGAATTCTGGGAGTTGAAGTCCATAAGTCTTAAATGGGCCAGGTTTCAAGACCCCTTTTCTACAATATATATTTACACTTGAATGTTCCAATAATCTCCTCTGTCTGACTGATAATTCCCCAGTTTATAATTATAATCTCTCAAGCAGCCAATGTCTGCCCTGCCCACCATGTAAAAGACATTCAGGCAAGTCTGGCCCTAATAAATCACATAAAATTCTGTTGAATAACCTTGCTATATAAATATCACAACGTTTTCTTGCTCAGCCCCTCCGTGTTGCTAATTGTTTGCCATTGTTTGTCTTGGGACTGCCGTGCAACATGGGTGAACTAAAAATTGCTGTTGACCTTTGTGAAAATCAAGGAGCAATATTTGTAAAGGTGTTCAGCATGATTATATTATGTGCCATACCAGGCACCGCAAATAAAACATAGTTTTAGAAGCCAGAATAAAGTAATGTCTACATCTGCTACTCTGATGAAAGATTATAGACAGTTGGAGAAAATTGATGAATACAATTTTGACTTCTCAGGTTTTATTTCCATGGCGTTATTCTTCTTCAGATCATTATGAAAACTAGTAAAAAAAAATCATCCATAAAAGAAGTTGCAGAATATCCTATCATAGAAAACCATGCCCTGTCGTTACATTTTATTGCAATCTGCCCCTGAATGAGTGCTTTCTTTAACCATACCTGTGATAATAGCAGCTGCAAAGAGGTCATCCTTTAAATTTAAAGCTTGAAAAGTCACACATCCCAAAGCCGAACCTAAATGTTGGTGCTGCCGATGGAGAATGAGCTGCCAAAACTGTCTATTCTAAAGTTAATTGCTCTATCTGTAGATCAAAAGGGAGAAAAGAGGGGGAAAATGAATCACCCTTTACAACTCCTTCCCACCTATATACAACCAAGATAACTCCTGTCAGGCCCCAAACCTGATCATCCAGCAGTCAAAAGGGATACAGGTAGTCCTTGACTTCCAACAGTTCATTTAGTGATGTTCAAAGTTACAACAGCATTGAAAAAAATGTGACCTATGACCGATTTTCACACTTATGACCTTTGCAGTATCCCCACGATCATGTGATCAAAATTCAGCTGCTTAGCAACTGACTCATACTTATCACCATTGCTGTGTCCCAAGGTCATGTGATCCCCTTTTGCAAGCAAAGCCAATGGGGATGCCAGATTCACTTAACAACCAGGTTATTAAGTTAACAGCTGCAGCAATTCACTGAATAACTGTGGCAAGAAAAGCCATAACATGGGGCACAACTCACTTAACAACAGAAAAGTTGGGCTCAATTGTGGTCGTAAGTCGAGGACTACCTGTATATGATTCTTAGGTTGCACAACGTTTCAGGTGTCGCAATGGATGCTGCTCTGGTTAGCAGGCTCAACAACTTAGAGTAGACAGAAGAAAAGGAAAGGGAGAGGGGAAGAAGTGCCTTCCAAAAAGGAAGCTATTGCCATTTTTAGTTTGTAGAAATTTGGTTTTCTTTGATCTGACGTGTCATTTATTATTATTGTGCTATGTGCAGTCTCTTAGATTCAGTCAACTTTTTAAAGGCATTTAGTTTGGTTTGATTTAGGTTGGGTTGGGTTGGGGTTGGGGTTGGGGTTGGTTTGGGGGTTGGTTGGATAAGAGCATTGTTTGATAGTGTCACTGTGCTCTGTGCATGCTTTTAACTTCAGTCTACATGATATGAGGGGCCCATCTTGCTGTCTTTATCAAAGGCCCTTTCCATCTTAAATACATTCCTGATCAGGTGGTGAGGGGTCCTTGGTGCTCTCTGAGCTTGGTTGCTTTCTTGCAGACGTTTCATTATCCAAACTGGGCAGCAGCATCAGTGCAATGATCAGCACTGATGATCTTACCTAGTTTGGGTAATGAAATGTCTGCAAGAAAACAACCAAGCTCAGAGAGCACCAAGGACCCTTCATTTCAACCCCAAGCTACAAATATTCTCCTTTATCTGATCAGGTATTGGGGGATGTCTGTTCATTTGCTTGCTTTGTTTTAAAGGATTTACCAAAGTCCCTTTTTTGTAATACACATGGGCAATTGACAAAGTTGCCCAGGTGTAGCCCTGGATCCACTTTACGGGATGGACTCCTTCAGCAACTCCAGAGCGTTAGCCATTTGTTTTAGCAGTGCAGGGACACCCACTTTTAGGTCTCTTGTACCCTTAACAACTGGTCAGGTGTCAGGTTTTCAAGCCCCAGTGGCACTGTGAGTGATGCCACAATCAGCACCTGTCACAATTCCTCTTCTCCATAATTCCTCCAGTTGAGAAGGTTGGTCGACATTGTGAACAGAGACCCAGGGAAGCAATACATGACATTGTTTTGAAGAATGTGTAGGATGTTTGAGCATTCAGTGAGGGAAGAAATCCTTTCCTGGGGGTAGAGGGATACTGGCACATAGTCCTACTATGTGGGGCAGCTGGGCAGCCCCATCTCCTCCCTGCAGTATATAAAGAACCATGTTATGTTTCCCCAATCATCATTGCAAGTGTTGAAATGAAGACTCCCTACTTAGTTCTTCTTTTTCTCATTGTTGCAGGGGCAATGAGGAGTAATGCTATCATCTTTGACAGATGCAACCTCTCAGCCATCCTGAAGGACAATGGATTGGAAGGATTTTCAGGCACCACAATAGCAGAGTGTGAGTGCTCCTCATTTTGTTCTGCTTGCAGCCTCCTCAGTTATGCTAAAATATCCTGATTCCCCACAACAGCTTTTCATTTCATGCCTTTGGTGTATTTGTAACACTACTTGTCTATTTTCGAAATGCAATCTGTTAACATTCGTTGATCCTGAAATGATGCTTTTTATGAAATGTCTTTAATGCAGCTATGTAGCTCCATTCAGCCCAACTGTCTTGGTAGTAGATAACCAAATTTCAGCCATGGAATTCTGGACACTCTAGAGAACTCATTCATTCTTTGGGCTACAAGTAGCTCTCTCCTTCCATAACTGGTTCCTGCTATCGCTCTTTGATGGGAAATGGTGATTCGGACCATCATATGATATATATTTTTGAGCCTGTTTTCCTCTACCTCCAGGGATTTGTTTGGTGTTTCATAGCAGTGGCTTTGATACCTCAGCCCTCAATGTGGGACCAAGGGCTACCAATCATGGGATCTTCTTGCTAAGCGCAAAGTGGTGGTGTGACGATTTCAAGACACCACATGCACGCAATTATTGCAACTTAAGTTGTGAAGGTAAGAAATCATGACTTTCCATGATCCCCTTACCTACTTTAGCTTCTCCTTACCTACTTTATCCACATCTTGTGTAATTTTATACACCTCAATCATGTCCTCTCTTATTCACCTCCTTTCTAGATGAAAAAGGCCCAAATGTCACAACCTTTTCTGATAAGGAAGTTGTGCCAGTCCCTTGATCACCTTAATTACCCTCTTCTGAAACCTCTTTAGTTCCACTGTATCCTCTGTGGTTGACAATGACCACACAAAATCCAGATGCTCCGAAGCACTTCCCTTGTTTTTAACTCCTTATCGTCTTGTCAAAACTAACAATATCAGGAGCTTACAGAGTCAAATGCATTGAGTTTCATAGTGCTGCAGCAGACAACAAGGACTGAATAGGCTTTCAAAAGGAGAATATACCTCACTGCAAGTCTGGAGGCATTGGAATACTCTAGTATGAGTATGCAACAGTCCAACATTGTAACCCAACTCTGAGTTGGGTTTACACATTAATGTTTACACATTGATGAGTTTATACATTGATTTAAGTCTGCCTTGTTATTACCATGATGGTTTGCTCAATAAGTCATTGGCTAGGTTCATACTATAATGGATTAGAAACTTTGATTGCCAAACCAGAATGGCTGGGTCTGGAGTCACACAACCTACATTAAGCCACTAAACTAACCACATATTGGCATAGACAAAGTATGAACTTATCCAAGAATCAACTTACTTTACCTTTCTCAATTTAGTACTTCCTCTGACTTTAACGATAACTATGCTCAAGTAGACTTTTCAATTCTCCCATCCTTTTCTTCTTCAGCCCTGCAGGATGATAACATTACTGATGATATTCAATGTGCCAAGAGAGTTGTCCAAAAAAGCAAGAGCTTTGCAGCATGGTAAATGGATTATTATATTCTTATTTACTTTATTATCAATCACATATACCAAAAGGAAAGTAAGGTAGCTCTGGAAGAAAACTGTCATGAATTTACTGGAGAGGTCTATATGTTGCCTGAATAGCTCACAAAAGGCTAAAGTGTGGGGTGATTATTTATAGTTGCCATTGCTCCTGTTCTCCAAAGAAGGCAGGAAAGCAAAAATAGAAGTCACTTCTAAAGCTAGGAATTGTGCTTGCCTCGCCTCTAAATGTTGCATTTTTGACGCTTTGCCTATGCCTAAAGTGAAATAAAGCAAGAAGGCCAAATTCAGTTCAAGAAAGCTCACCAAAGGAGAAGGAAGGTATTATCACCAGACTGATCTTGGGCAGAACATTAACGTAGTTTTTCTAGTCTGGCTTTCTCCAGAAATGTTTGAGATGCAACTCACAGAACTCTGAAAGTTGTCCAACATACCTGGAACTGAGACTAGAGTCATTTGTTCACCTGCCCCAGCAGGCAAAATGTCATCAGTGAAAAAAACTTAAGGGGGAGAAGTCCTGTCCTCTGTGTGAAGGCCTTTTTCTTGGTGGAATCCAGTTCTCTGTGCAAAACCCAGGAAATCATTACATTGCTTTTTCTCCTGCGATGAACAAAGCAATCTGTGCAGGACAACCGAGGACACCATTACTTTATCCAGAATTGCACATTTTCCTGGTGGAGCAAGAAAGGACACTTTTGGCTACCAAAGTCAGCATTTCAAGGGGAAAATTATTTTTTAAAGTCTATTGATATGCTTATTTTAGGACTTACACTGCAATTATCAGGTGCTTCTCACCTCAGAACAGGAAATTGTGCTATCAGTTTTCAGCAGTCATGACCATGGGGACTGTAAAGACTTGAACACTGGGCGCTATCTAACAAAATGAAATTCAATGGTGAAAAAAGTAAGGTTCTACATTTAGGCAAGAAAAACCAAATGTACAGGTATAGTATAGGGGTACCTTGCTCAATAGTAGTAATTGTGAGAGGGATCTTGGAGTCCTAGTGGACAATCACTTAAATATGAGCCAGCAGTGTGCTGCAGCTGCCAAAAAAACCAACACAGTGCTGGGCTGCATTAACAGAGGGATAGAATCAAGATCACATGAAGTATTAATACCACTTTACAATGCCTTGGTAAGACCACACTTGGAATACTGCATCCAGTTTTGGTCACCACGATATAAAAAAGATGCTGAGACTTTAGAAAGAGTACAGAGAAGAGCAACAAAGATGATTAGGGGACTGGAGGCTAAAACATATAAGGAACGGTTGCTGGAATTGGGTATGTCTAGTTTAACGAAGAGAACCACGAGGGGGGACATGATAGCAGTCTTCCAATATCTCAGGGGCTGCCACAAAGAAGAGGGAATCAAGCTATTCTCCAAGGCGCCTAAAGGCAGGACAAGAAGCAACAGATGGAAACTGATAAAGGAGAGAAGCAACCTAGAACTAAGGAGAAACTTCCTGACAGTTAGAACAATTAACCAATGGAACAACATGCCTCCAGAAGCGGTGAATGCTCCAACACTGGAAGTTTTTAAGAAGAGACTGGACAGCCATTTGTCCAAAATGGTGTAGGGTTTCCTGCCTGAGCAGGCGGTTAGACTCGATGATCTCCAAGGTCCCTTCCAACTTTATTATTATTGTTGTTATTATTATTATTATTATTATTATTATTATTATTATTATTATTATTATTATTATTATTATGGGATTGAGAGATTGTTCGAGGCCCTGGGGCTATAGGCTGGCTACCCTTTCTGCATATCATATTCAGTGATGATGGAACAGAAAGATTTGTTAAGGGAATGATATGAATTATGGAGGGATGAAACATGATGCCTTGATTATTAGTACAATAATTTGGCAGTTATTTGGGGACTCAGGCTTCCATGTGGCAACATTCATACCTTGGTCTTCCCAAGTACATGTCTAGTCAACTGAATGGCAGCAATATTCTGACCAAGAATTGTTCGTTACAGGACTTCCTGGAGCATACACTGTAAAGGACAAGATCTGAGGAAATATATTGCAGGCTGTGACCTGGAAGAAGTCACATTTTCACCGCCAGTCTCAGAAAAAGACTTTACTAGTGACCAGAGGCCAAAGACTACCCACCCAGGAGTAGATCTTCTGACTACTCCTTTCCGAGACATATACCCTGAAGAACCTACTCTCCCATTTAAAAAATGGCCTAATTCTGAGCTTCCAGCCATGGGTTCTTCAAAGCCTACAGTTTCTATAAGAAAGTTCCCAAATACCACCTTCCTATCTGAGAATCTTCCAAAATCTAACATTTCAGTCAAAGAGGATTCTCCAGGATTCGCCCTCTCGACACGTAGTCCCTTAAAGCCCTCTGTTACATTAGGGGAAGCCCCAAATTCCATCCCACCCAAGATTCCTCCAGAACCTACAGCCTCCATCAATGAGACTTCAAACTCCACCCTCCAAGCAGTTGATCCCAAAAAGTATTCGGTCCCATCGCCTAATCATGCAAAACCCAGCATTTTTTAACAACGCATAGAAGAACAAATGGTAAAACTAGTTTTTTTTTAAAAAAAAAAATCATATTGTATCAAAGTTGCCATGAATGTGCAGTGAAATTGCAGTATCTTTTCCTAGCATGGAGCCATAATACTCTTCTTTGGGGATAGTGGTGTCATTTATTTATTACATTCTTCATTTATAAGTGATATTCTATACATGAAAATAATGTTCTCAATAGAATTAGATAAACTGATATGGTTAGAAAAAGCAAGGTTTGTGTATAATATGAAAACGTATGACGTTGCTTTAAATAAAAAAAATGCAAAACTCTGAAAACTGTTGAATTATCAGTGATCTAATATGACTATTAAATTTTCAATTATCCCAACATTGACAGGTCTTGGTGATGTGTGTATAAATATACCAATTAAAATTCTTTCATATTTAATTGGTATAAGTATGTTGTCGCTAAAATTCATTCAAACCACAGATGTCCTCTGTTAATGGCATCTATCTACCCTACAAAATAGAAAGTGTTACTGCTGTAAAATAAATCAAATTCATCCTGGAAACAGTTACAGGGCAGTTAAGGCCAACTTTAGAGGACTTGACAAAATCTGCTTGTCTTCTTAGAGCTGAACTACATGATTTGTTACTGGTTTGCCTTTGGTTTGATTTATCATAAAACCTAATTGGCTGAGTGCACATTCTTTAAAGGCAGTATTCCTCAAAGTGTGCTCATATATGGAAAGTTTTCAGAAAGTACTTTCTTCACATTCTTTTCTGAACAGTCATATCAGTGTTCTGATTGCAAAGCTACAGAAGAATTCCAGCGATCCAGATGAAGCCTCAGCTATCTTCTCTTTTTTTCAACACAAGTGCTTGCCTTTTGAAGGAGAAGAAACCACTGTCAGAAGTAAGTCTTCATCCTGGTTCATCCAAGCCGGGAATATTATCATTATTATTATTATTATTATTATTATTATTATTATTATTATTATTATTATTATTATTATTATTATTATTATTATTATTATTAAATAAGCAACATGGCGACTGCTTTGGGAAGATGGTTACAGTTTATTGCAGAAGCAGAAAGATGGTTCTTCAGGAAAGAGCAGAAGAGAGAAGAAGAGACTGAGCACATGGCCAGTAGCTTTTTATACCCTCTCTAGCTTTTTGTTTGGAAGTCTTCCTGTTCCTGTGGCATGAACTTTGAGGCTATTTCCTGTGTCACGTATTCTGACCTGAGCCCAGGTGTGCCTCTCTGGTATTACTTGATGGTAATGGTTAGTCCTATTATGTCCCAAAAGTCATCTCCTGCTTCCCTGGGGATGGGGCTAATGACTCTTAAGAGTTTCTTTTGTCTTGAGCTCCCTGGCTCCAACCTTCCTGATGGTCCCACATCTGCATCTGTATAGAGCTGGTTCCTGCCTGGGGCAAAGAGATGAGGCCAGGTTTGGTTTCTGCTTTTCAAAAAATGCTTTTAAAAATCCTTTTGGTGAAAAATATATTTTCCTGCCTTTTTAATATTTCCTTCTCTTGGGCTCTGACTTCCCACACCACAGTGGGAGTTTATGCAGCTTCTATGCAAAGGGACTCACTCAGCACAGAGAGTTATGACGGGCGGGGGGGACCGAAAGAAGGTGGTCCCAAAGTTGCCTTGTGAAAAAAAACAGCATCTTTGGGATAACTATGACCTAGATGACTGAGAATCTCCATAGACAGAAAGAAGGTGGGTTGCCATAGTAACATCACAAAGCCTGGTAACTTTTCCCACATTAAAACTCTGAAGGGGAAAAAATGGCTTGTTTGAAAATCCATGTCAAAAATTGATATTTAGTAGAACTACCCTTTTATCATGTGGCATTAAGACCATACCTTATTTTTAATTTTGTTTTTAATTGGGCTTTTAGTCAAGTTTTTATATTATTTTACTGTTTGTAAACTGCTCGGAGTCAGATGAGATGGATGGTGTAGAAATTTTATGAATAAAATGAAATAAAAGTATAGACACTCTCCGAGATAAATACCTGGTTTACTCATCCCTAACTGAAGGATAATTTCTCAGTCTCAGGGAAGCGCCATCTCCTTTTACTATGTCATTTACCAGTTCATAGACCTTGCCAGCTATCAGAGCAGAAAAAAGTACTTTGTTTTGTAAGATGCAATCCAAACCAGAACTTTTGGTTTGCAAATGGCTGGATTTGTGGTGAAATTAAACAGTTATATAATATGCCTCTATCCTTATCTTTTAAAAATATAGATTAGATCTTTTTGCAGTCTTGTGGTAAAGTTTATATAATGCAATTTTTTTCTACCTCCAGAACTAATATGGTCACTTTTCCCACACTAAAATTCTGAAGAAAAAAAAATTGCTCGGTTGAAAATCAAAATTCCAAAACCTGATATTTAGTAGAACTACCTTTGATCATCATAATAGTAATCAATGTTAATTATTCATGAATTAGCAACACCAACAGGCATCAAATACCTTGCAAAATTTCTTTTGCAAATTGATCTTACCTGTATTTGGTAGAATACTACCAAAAATCTTGTTTCGGAGAAACTCATTTCTACCTTTTCATCATGGCAAACAAAATATTGCCAGAGCTTAGAGATTTTGCTAAAGGCCATTTGCAATCCGGGAGAGAAAGATGGCGCCATCAGCACAGGAGAAGATAGTAACAGAATACAGTAAATGATGTGCGTCTGTGAAACTGACATTGGAAACAACATGTTCCATGGATTTAGTGTAAAAATTAAAAGCAAGCAAGTCCACTCTCTAACTCCAGTGGTGATTTAGTAGAGAAAGCCATCCCTTGGGATGCATATAGTATTTTTAGGCAGCATTATACAGCAATCTAGTGGAGGAAGTGAATATTTAGATTACCAGCTATCAGTTTCCTAAGCGACTACATCACCTCCTAGAGTTGCTCTGTGAAGGCAATGGATGGTTGGTCTTTGATCTTTATTAAAATAACCCGTTTCTTTCATCATTTCACAAATGTTTCTATAAAGTTTCCTTCTGTACCATCTTCCTTCAAATGACATGCAGAACCAGCCGAAGTATTCTAGATGAGCTTTAAATCATGCAGAATAAAAAGTGATTCCTTCCAGCAGCTTGGAAACAATGGATCTGTTAATGCAGCCTAAAACTTTTACCTCCTTTGCTAACTGTATTACTCTTCTATCCTATATATTCAGACAGGAATCAATACTTAAATTATCCTCCCGTGCAATTTCCACGATCACAACCCTTCATCCCATACCTGTGTAAATGTTTTGCATAAAATAAGTGTGAATGCCTCTCACTTAATATTTTTAATTATTTCAATTCATTTTAAGATCTCTCCCTCAATTTTCCCTGGTATTGTTATCAGAGGAACTTATCCATAATGTTCTGGATCCTCTAGATGGCAGCATTTGAACGTCTCCAATCTTACACTGGGTGTCCCCAGTAATTACAACAGTTCCACTTCTGTTCAGACAGATTTCTAAAATATGTTGGATACTTTGTATTTTTTTGTTAGAGTAAAAGGCCAACACTATTTAGTATCATCATTATCAAACAAAAATGTGAATTAATCTAAGACTGTTAGATACTTCTGGCCTTATCCTGATCTTTCACTATTCAAATTACTTCTGTAAGTTTGGATTTAATTTCCCTTTTAAGAGAAAAATAGGGAAAAATCTGATTGGTTGCCATTATTTGTTAATATTTTACTGTACTTAGTGGGGAAGGAGCCAGAGTTGGCAAACTTTCTAAGTACCGAGAATGAAAATTAAAAATGACAACCATCTCACAGGACTTCCAAACCTGAAAAACCTCTGCGCTCCCCCTGAAATTCCACAAAACGTGTGAGAATATCTACATCTCAAACACTATCCATTTAATAACATCTTTTGTTATGAGGGTTTGTGGATGCTTCCTAGGAATAGTATGGGTACCATCATGTCAGGTTCTGAGTTAACCCATCATTTCACCCTCTTCAACTCTCTCTATACACTCATACACAATCATTTGTACCATGGCTGACTCAGCATCAGCTCCCACAAGTGGGCAAAAGATGTCCACTCAT